TTAAAAATATTATGGCGATAAATATGTATATGCAAAGACTAATACTGATATGTATTATAAAAATTGAGAAAAAAATTAAATTAATGAATATTGATATGCATAATGTATAATGTATACGTTATCTCTTATGGATTTTTACAAGTACAGTTTAATTAGCACCTCATACATAATGCTCAACTTTTGGTTTATTTAGTTTTGTAATAGTTAGGCTTTTGTATAAGTTTAGTGATGATGTAACATGCACCTAAACAATTTCTTTTTAGATGATGTTTTTCTTTTCTTTACAAACTTATAATACAACATAAAAAGAAAATTGATTTTTAATCGTCTTTATACCATAAATTTTATATAGAAAGGGTAGTTGTCATAATCCATTTGCTTACTCTTATTTTTTTTTATAAAAATAAAAATTTTAAAAAAAATATCTTTTCAGATGCAATCAATCACTTTATGGTCAGTTTATAAATTTTCACGCAATTATTTATTTTATTTTTTATGAAAAGTTAAGATTAAAAAAATAAAAAAACATTAGGGGTTGAAATGATGAGCACGAAAGAAAAGGAGACTATAATGATGAAGAATCAAATAATATAATAGAATATCATATAAATGAAGAAAAAAATTAATAAAAAGAGATTATTTTCTATAAAGTAGAGATTCAAATAAAACTAGAAATATTATAGGAAGAGATATTGTATAGTCAAGAAAAGGAAAATTTTAATTAAAATTTGACCACAAAGTTTCCTACTTAGAGATTTCATCTAGGAAGGAAAGAATATGAAATCTTTCAATTTTTCAATCTTTATTTTTTCTAGTTTTAATAGGAACCCAATGTTATAAATTCAAGCTTGATGAAAAAAAATATCCTATAGAAAAAAAAACCAATAAAAACTCATTTTATAAAAAGAAATTACTCCCACATAAAAAATAAAAGATAAAGAAGAAAAAAAAAACACTTCATCTCTCTACTAAAATTTTATACTTTTTGCTCAACCATCACATTCAATGCACCTCCAATTAATCAACCTATCCACTTTCCTTCATATCCACTATCAATTTGACAAATATCATCATTGTTATAAACTCAAGCTTGATGAAAAAAATATATCCTATAGAAAAAAAAGACCAATAAAAACTTGCTTTATAAAAAGAAATTACTCCTATGTAAAAAATAAAAGAAGAAAGAAGAAAAACAAAACACTTCCTCTCTCTACTAAAATCTTATACTTTTTGCTCAACCATTACATTCAATGCACCTCCAATTAATCAACCTATCCACTTTCCTTCATATCCACCATCAATTTGACAAATATTGTCATCGTTATAAATTCAAGCTTGATGAAAAAAAACAAAAATATCCTATAAAAAAAAAGACTAATAAAAACTCATTTTATAAAAAGAAATTACTCTCACGTAAAAAATAAAAGATGAAAGAAGAAAAATAAAACACTTCTTCTCTCTGCTAAAATCTTATACTTTTCGCTCAACCATCACATTTAATGCTCCTTCAATTAATCAACCTATCCACTTTCTTTCATATCCACCTTCAATTTGACAAATATCATCATCGTCCAACCCAAAGTCATCATTTAAAATAATACATCTAACTTTATTTCTTTAAAATTTTACCTTTTCAAATTATATTAGCATGATTTTATGTATTAAGATTTCTTTTATTTGGTATGCTCTTAAATATGCAAAAATGTCAATGAATACTTTAATGATGAATTAAAGATCAATGTTGCATAATATGATTTTATGTTCTAGTTTAAAAAATTTAAAAGATCAAAGATCAAATTTAACAACAACAAAAAAATAAATCTTTTTTTCATTTTGGAGCATAAAACTTCACTTTGGTCCATAAAATTCATCTTATATGTTATTTGGTCCTTATTATTTTAGCATTTTATGTTTCAACCATAAAATTCTTTTTTTTTCCATACTTTAATGATTATGCATCAAAAGTATTATTAAGTCTCTTATTTTACATATGTATTTATTGTTTTTATTTGGGTTTTTATAATAATTGATGTGCTTTTTAGTAATGAAATTTCTTTTAATATTTTGCTAGGTTTTTAGAGCTTAAATGGATTATGTCAGAAAATTTAATGTCGGAATTCAGAATAAAGAATTGAAGAGAAATTTAGTTAAAGTTTGAAGCAAATCTTGGTTCAAAAAAGTGCTCCAAATTTTTCCTAAAAAAATCAATTCTATTCCAATCCTAAAAAAGATTATCATATAATCTATTTCAAGCTCAAACTTGTCTTATATTGTGTGCAAACTTCAACCATCAAATACTCAAGGTTTTAATGTCAATCTTAGCCCAAATAATAGGTACATTTGTATCTTATATGATGCTTAAATTCAACTCCAAATCATCATTCAAATCAGCCAACGCACAATCAATGATCTTACATGTCCATATAACAAATAACAATTGATTTATTTTAGATAATCCATTGATCCAAGAAGGGAAGTACATGGATGAAAAGCTGGAAGAGACGTTGTTACATTATTTTGAGTCAAAAACAAGAAAGAGACAGCTCATAAACAAGGAAGAAAAACGTGCACAAAAGTGATTGCAAAGCTGGCCTGATTTGATTTTTCAAAACATCTTTTGGTGTTTTGCCCATAACTTTTGACTCAGGTATCCAAATGAATTGTTCTTTAATGATCCGGAAAGGTGACATAATTTTCTATAAATATATCTCTAATAGACATCTCTAAAAAAAAACTTTTATAAGGGTCTAAATTGCTGTCCAAAGTTAGCATCATATTTGTGTCTGAATTTTTACTGAAATTGTGTTGTGTTCTTCTTTATAGATTTTAGTTCTTTAATTTGTAAAACTTATTGTTTCAGTTTGATTCAAGTTATTTCATGTTTATTAAAGTGTTCTTATACATAATCATGGTTGGCTAATCTCTTTCTTGGATCCAAATCAAGGATGATGGTGGCTGAGGGGAGATTCTTAAGATATGCATGAATCTTAATGTTTATTGAATCTTAATGTTTATCTTCTCATTTTCTTCATGAATGATTTATTATTGCAAAGCAATTTTAGAAATCATTTAGGTAATGTTATAATCTTGAATTTTTATGCACAAACTTTAGTTTTGGTATAGAGATTGCTTGATTCAATGTCTTACTTAATATGAAAGTATTTGTTCATTCTTAAGCAATAATCAATCTTCATCTTTTTAAACTTCATTGTAATATCTTCCAATCTAATATCACCAGCGTTGATATTATGTTGAGTTATCTTATATATCTTGAAGGAATCACTAATATATCATGATTAAAATTGATTTGGACCGATACTTATTTTTTCTTGTCATTTAAAATCTATTTACTCGTTTTTATCTTTGAAAACAAATCCATCAAATTATTTTCAACCAAGTTATTGTTAATTTAATTTCTCTTAAGTTTTTTGTTACCTAACTTAATTTCTAGATCTAGCTCTTTGTGGATATGACATCGATCTTACCGAGTTAATTGCTATATCGCCCAATCATGCAATTACGAGTTAAAACAAGTCGATCATAAAAGACGATCAAGTATTTAATATTGGGTGTTGAGCCAATAGAAAGAAATTCATCAAAAAAAGTTACAGAAAGAGAAAATCACATATTCTAATCACTAAATATATCAATCTTAATTGCAATATATTTGTATTTATGAGAGAAATCCAATGAAGGTAATGTTTTCTTTTAACCATGACAAAAATCATAGACTGGGGTCTATAATTTTTATTGTTTAGAGTGATTAGAGGGTAATATGAGATTAGAAATAAGTTTACTAAGGTTTGTATTATGTTTTTCAGGTCTTAAAGTGAAAACAAATTTAAATTTAAATTTTTAAAGCTAAAAAACTTAAACCTTTAATTTTAAAGTCATCTAAGACAATTGAAAAATTAACTTATGCATGACAAATTAAAATTAACTTATGCATGACGAATTACAGGCCTAACCTATATTTTTTAATTTACTTTTCATTCTTGGCTAGGCAAGCATCTAGGCTTAGGCTTTGTAGGCCTAACCCACATTTTTAATTTTACTTTTCATTAATTTTTTTTATTTTACTCTCTTATTTTCTTAAAATTTATTTAATTTAATTATTTTTAAATTGTAATTAATCTTTATAATTATTTTTTAATTTTATCATGCTTCAACAAAATTATTGTAATTTATATTTAAATTTGTTTCCTCTTATATTTTATGTAAATAAGTTATATTTGCATTATGTATTTGTAAAAGCAAAAACTATATGTTCATCGCCAGTAGAATTGCATTTATCATTTATTTTTCCGAGGAAGGTTAACTTTTCACTTTAGTAGTTATTTAGTGTTAACAATATATATAAACTTTAATCAGTGTTGTTTGCTCAGAAAGATCGAGTTCAAGGCTTCAAGCTATGCTTCATAAGGCATCACTGTGAACAGCTCGAATGATAAATTGACTCGGACTCGTATCAAAATGACCGTCAATGAATTCGGTTCAAGCAGTGTCTTCATCATCCAAAACGACACCACTTTCTAATTTTATCATCTAAAAATGTAAAGACACATAAAAATTTAAAAATTAACCAAAAAATAAAATATTAATATCATCACATTCATATGTATTATTTTTAAAAAATTAAAATAATTTATATTAATATTTTTCTCATATTTCTACTTTAAATGAATTTAAATAAAATAAAACACTTTAGATAAAATTAACTTATTGAATGAACAAAATTCGTCAAAAACCAAACTTTTTTAATGGATTAAATTGAAAAACTTTGGGAGGATGAATAAATCAATTTTGATGGCAAGAATAAGCTTCATGAAAGTATCAATCTCCTGAGATATCTAGTTAATAACTTCTCCTACATACACCACACCATACAGAAATAATATTTGATTTAAATTAAAAACTTACTTTTTTATTATTTTATTTATTTTGAATTACTTTTTAAGTTAAAACCCCATTTAAATAAATCTAATTTTGACTACATACCATGGATAACTTCGATATATTACCATTATATTAGCTGTAGCAAAACAGACTGATAGGATTTAAATAAAACATGAAACTCAGAAACAAGGGATTCAGAAAGCATTCTCATCAGTCAAAACTTTGACAACCTAAAAATAATTCACAAGTCTTAACAGTAAAATACCGAAACAAATTCATCTAGTTCAAACAGCAACTTGAAGCAGAATGGCCAGTAGAAGAGTTTGATTTGATTCTCTAGGCACGTGCAGGAGCTGCACCAGCAGGACGAGGTGCTTGCCCAGGTTGACCAGGCTGCCCTGGCTTTGGCATGTCATCCTGAGATATGAAACACAAGAAGAAAGTTAATAACCCGATATGGGGGTGATAAGAATTACTTTTCAAAATGTTTTCCACTAATAAATTCATCAAAATATTATTTTTTAAAATTTATTTCACACAAGACGATCGGAAATCATAAAAAATATTATTTCTAAGCATTCCCAAACAGGGGCTAAATTAACAACATAATTTGCTCGGTTTGGCTTAGGATCCCAGAAGACCAAGAAGGCAGCCAAAAGAAAGTTGTAAATACAGATACAAACAGCCGAATTCACACGAGAAAAGCTAACATATTATACAAAGGAAAATAACATGGAGAAAATGACTTTAATTTCATGACTCAGTTCCCCACATCCAATGCTTACAAATCAAAAAACTAAAGCCGAGAATCAAGAATACAAACTTCAACTAACAAGCAAAGAACAATCATCTTGTAAATTAAGAATGTTTGCAAATGCATCTAACTGGGATCATCTACACAATGGATATCCAATACTTGGCAATGCACTACAAATGACAAGCAGAACAATCACATATTTAAAAAGGATCTGTTTCGATTCAGGACGAACAAGATACAGACCTAAATAAGGGATTGCAAACATTAAAATTATAAAGCACAAAATGATCTACCATCATCAACAAGAAAACCATCAATTTCTAAACATTAAAAAAAAGGAAGTCAAATCCATAAAAAACAAATTAAATACACATTTGTAATAGTATTGCAAAATAATAATGATAATTAAATAAGCAAAGAGATAAGAAAACAGTACCCTGCGTCTAATAAAACGCTGTGGGGGCTCCCTGTTCCTGCGCTCAGAGCGAGAGCGAACCCTCACAACACGGGAGTGAATAGCACAAGAGACACAGTACTGCATCTTGACGTACAGTTTGGGCAAAACATACCCTAACACCACAACAAAGAAACAATAAAGTCCATGGCCAAATCTGGCAAAAGTAAAACATGATTAAAAACTAGTTTAGCTAGTGATTTACCATCATAAACACAGGATTCTTGAACATCCCTGACAGCAGCTTGCTCTACTATGTTCCTCACGAGAAACCTCTTAATTGCCTTATCCTTTTATTTATTTATTTATCATTCATTAAATCCAAAATAAACAAACAAATCAATCAGGGTCTTTCTGAAAATAACGATTCACAGAGCGAATAGACAAGACAAGAAAGAAATTGCGTGCTGTACCTTGGGACAGCATTTGCCGCAGTTGGAGCATCGGATGAACTTGGTGTGTCCACGGCCGTGCTTGTTGCGGCCTCCATTCCTTCGCTTGAATGTCTGCACGAATTCAAAAAATAAAAAATAAACAGATCGTTAGAACAACAAAGCGGAAAGAGCTTGTCTGTTGCTGTAGGTGGCGGTGGAAATGAGATCCGTCGAACTCACCATGGATGCTGACGGTTGTTAGTGAAGAAGGCAGCCTAGGGATTTAGAGAGCTGGCTCTTCAGCACGGCTGCTAGGGTTTTTTTGGGTAACACGAGATGATTCCCGTTGCGAAGGGGACAATTTATAGGTGCGAATGGTTATACCCTCGCTCTTCACTGGATGGGCCGGTCTTCATATGGGCCTATAGGCCTTAGATATCTTAGGTGATTTTACATGCCCTTCTTTGAACACCCGTCCAATCGCTCTGTCCTAATATTCTGTTTATTTTAGAATGTTTAATAAATCATTTATCTATTATTAATCATAAAATCTATTTTAATATATATATATATATGCATCCTTTTTTTTAATTTAAATTATTAATTGGTATTTATTTTTTAAATAAATATTAAAAACTTGTATCTTATCATTTTAATTTTTTATTAGTAAAAGGCTAAATTGAATAACAATAAGGGTGTAAATGTTATATAATTTGTTTTTGTACTATCATAGATTTTTTAATAATTAAAGGATCATATGATAAAGGTTGACTTAGAATCAGAAAAATTTCTTTCTTTCTTATGACCTTGGTGTTAAAAGAAAATTAAATATATTATGATTTATACTTTCAATTGATTGGGGTAAAAACAATTAAAAAAAATATTGTGAGAAATTATGATTTAAAGTTTCATATAAAAAAAAAATCTTACTTTCTGTCTTCTATAAAATTATTAATCTCTTAAAATTTTATTTTTTTATTTATACACAAGGAAAGAAAAAACCCAATTTATATTATTATTTTTTAATGTGTGACATTTAAAATTAGTTAACTTTTAAATGTTTCACTGATACTAAGTTATATCAATTTTTTTAATTGAAAAAAAAAGATTAAATGGTGTCAATATTTTTCTAATAAAAAAATATTATAAGTTCAAAATATGATATAAATGGATGATAATTTTTAAGAATATTAATGCGATGATAACAACGACATATAGAATTTATATGGCTTAACTTATAAAATTTATAACTTGAATCATAAAACCATGATAATCTTATAGAAAAATAAATTAAAAAAACTACCCGAGCCAACTCATGTTACCTTTTAAACCCGCAACCTTGGTCATGAGATTGAGATAACTTTATAGAAAGAAAATATAAAAATTATGAAGTTTAATTTTCTACCGACTTAATATTAAAGGGTGAAATTAAAAAAAAATCAATTAAAAAGATAAAAAAAAAAACAAACTCAAGTAAACCCAAACTAATATATTAAAACCACAACCTGATTCATGAAATTAAGATAACTTCATAAAAAATAAATAAATAAATTACGAAGCTTCATTTCCAAACTATTCAATATTGAAGGTTGAAATCAATTAAAAATAAATAAATTCATGAGATCGGGATAATTTCATAAAAAATTATGAAGATCAACTCTTAAACCTAGTACTGTAGCCAATATGTCATGTAAATATATTTGAATTATTAACAATGACTTATTTATCTTTAATATTAATCAAATATTTTATTAAGAAACCTGAAGTAAATATAAAGTTCTTAAGACAAAAATATTTTACAAAGAAAATTATAAAATTGTTATAATTATGAAATTTCTATTGCATCAAAATATGGATCCAAAATATTTTTTGTCAATACTCTATTAAAACTGGATATCAATTAGAGCTATTGAGATCACTAGTGTATATTATGTTTTTTTCTTTATAAAAAAAAAACAATTTTTCCATAATAAAATATGAGAGATATCTTGAACTAATATGTAGGTGCTTGTTGGATGACATATGTAGGTGCTTATTGGATGATATGTACATTAAACTAACCCGCATGAAAATTTCATATGGAGAAATCACTTATGTCTATGAAAAAGTTCACAAGATGATTGTATAAATAGTCTTTAGATTTATTATCACTAAGTTATCTTATATAAAAGTGTTATATTTTTATTATGCTACACATTGTCATAATTAATGGTAACAAATTGACAAATATTAAATATAACATGAACTATATGAAGATATTTTAAGTAATTAATAGAGAATTTATCACCTTAGGTGAATTAGAAAAAATATTTTTTATATTTTCAAATAGTATAGATTGTGAATCATTGCACAAGACACAATGAGAATGAAAAAAGTTTAAAATATTATTTAAATAATCAATAACTATAGTGATGAGAATAATATGAATTAACAGAGTAAACATACTCTATATTATTATTATAACAAAAGTTAAATGATTTGGGGAAATCATCGTAGATCAAGAAAGCATTTATTGTGGATTGTAATATTGATTTTACTTTTAATTTCTTATATTTTTCATGAATGAAGAAACTTTTCTTTGACTTTTTTCCACCAGGGTATGGTCAAATATTTGAGGGTATTTTGGTTTCTTTAATTTTCAAGTATAGTGAAATAATACTTTGAGCCTAAAAAGACAAAAAAATAAGTTTTGCCTTTGGATATATTTTGGTATTTTTACTTGAGTATTTAATGTAATTAAGAAGATTATAAGGGGTTTTTTAGTATTTTCATGATATATTTTTTATTTTTTAATTGAAAAGCTGCAAGCACATGATCCTTACGCCCTAGCAAGTGAGTGGCGCCAGAGCTATTAAGAGAGCTTTTACTGTGAATTGTAATATTGATTTCACTTTTAATTCCTCATCTTTTCGCGAATAGATAAATGTTTCTTTGATTTTTTTCCACATGGATATTCAGGTTTTTTCAATTTTCAAGCATAGTCAAATAACACTTTTAGCCTAAAAAGACAAAAAAAGAAGTTTTTCCATTGGGGGTATTTAAGTATTTTTACTTGAGTATTTTGTGTAATTAAGAAGGCAATAGGGGGCTTTTTAGTATTTTCATGATGTATTTGTTATTTTTAATCAAAAAGCTACAAACACATGTTCCTCACGCGTTGGTGAGTAAGTAGCGTTTAAGCCATTAAAAAGGCGCGTATGACGCTTTCTAGTGGCCAAATCTAATCATTTATCGTCTAACTGGATGTGTAGTCATGTCCATTTCCATATAGAGTAGTGTGTGTAGGCATATAATACTTGGATTATCGTCAATGATCGATTGTTTGTATTTTCTCTCTCTCTAGACAACTAAAGTATATAATTTTTCTTTTTGTTTATTATTTGTCAAATCAGGCATGTGTATCATATCCAATAACTTAGGTCTGGAATGGCTGCTAGACCTGTACACCCTGAGCCTGCTAGACCCACACCACGATCAATGATTGGACTGTAAAAACAAATACTGCCTTGTTCGAGCAGGAGTTTTCATTCACATGCAATAAAACTTAATTGTAATTTTTTTTATTCATACAACTTATTTTATAAATTTGTTATATTTGAGGAGGAAAGAATAAAAAAAATGAGTTCTAAGTGATTTATTTCAAGTTTTCAAAAATAAATTTTTTTTTTCGTATGCATTGTGGATAAAATATTAATTTTATATTTCCATCCAAGTGTTGGACAATTTTTAAAATGGTTCATACTTTATTAAATTTGAGATTTTGTTGTATAATCTAATTGTCAAAATTTGTTACAAGGAGAGTTTATTTTATATTATAACTATTAGTATATACAAAAATTTAAAATATATAATCATAAGAGAAAACTTTTGAATTGATACATTATATCATAAGAAAAGATGTATATAAAAAAAATTATTGTCCTTTTAACTATCTTAATTTTTTTAATTTTATAAATGATTTGTTCATCAAAATTAGAAATTAATAAAAAGATTGAGTGAATTTTAGGGATGTGTGTTGTTAATGTCCAAAAATAGAAAAAAGAAATATAGAAAAGATAAAAATATATTTGGTTAAAAAGACAAGATGAAAATACAAAAAAACTATGTTTCTAGAACAATTATAAGTGAATTTTTATATTTTTCAAAAAAAAAAGTGTATGAATTTGATATGTTTGCCAGACCCAGGTAAAGGTCTGGCGTGGTTGTGGAGCCCAAATGCATGGGTCTGGCATAGTTATCAGCCCCACGTTATTTAGATCTGGCAAAAAATTAAGTGAATGTTTAAAATTTAACCCCCATGATTAAGTTTAATAACACTATTAAAAAATTCTCCATACTCTTAATATATTTTTACATTTTAAAAAAATTGATATTGATCCGCTGCGAAGCGCCGACCAATAAACTAGTAATGTTTAAATTAGAACATTGTTGATAAAAAAAAATATTAATTATTACAACGAGAAACTAGTTACTAAAATGCAAAGTCAAATCACTTATGACTTTCCAATTATTTAGGGGATCATGACAAATTGCTAGATATTATACTTAATCTTTAAATATAAATCAATCAATTGTTGAATTGATAATAAATTAATTTGTTTAATTATCTAATCCTATTTTATTCAGGACTGTGGTTTATATTTGAGGCAACTTATTAAGCAACCTAATGGGTCACATTAAAATAAAATGATTAATTAAATGTGACTTGATTTTAAATAAGTTTTAGAAATTAAATTCCTGACTATAATTTATATAAGGAATTACAATTCTAGATCTAGAAAAATCAAGTAGGGACTTGATTTAATATATTTTTAAGATTATTCTAAAATAATATATATGATATTATTTAGTGAGCAAATTAATATTTTTATTATTTATAGAGTTTTTAGGTTTCTCTATAAATAAAAAGTCATGCCTTTTATTTTTTGTGAGTAGAATACAATATATAAATAACTACATTCTAAAAGAAAAGAGTTAACACTTAAAATATATCAATTCATTTCTTCTTAAAAGATCTAGGAGATTTTTTATAAGTATAATTATCTAATTAAACAAAAAAAGATAAGGATAAAATCACCATAAACAAACAATTAATCAAGAGATTAATTATATAAATAATAAATACAATTAATCCACCAATAAGTTTCTTTAACAATACTAAGAAAAACATGCACCTCTGGGGCATGAAGCATTGAAGTTGAATTTATTTTTTGTCAAAATTTGAAAAATAGATTGCTTCATATTAATTATTTTTTAATATTTTTAGATTATTTTGATATAATAATATTAAAAAGAGTTTTTTAAAAAAAATTAATATATTTTTAAACTAAAATAATTTAAAAAGTAATCTTT